GCACTTATTGACACTCTTGAATTACTAGCTTGTTGGACTTGGGGGTTCAAAAGGTCGGTTAAGTGGTATCTTTCAGTCATTTGGTGATGTCTTCTAATGTCTAGCTGTTCCCTTAAAACTATTTGATTGTTTAATTGTTTAATTGTCTGTTCATCGTTAAGCTTCTGAATTCTAGTTACAGCCTTGTCTATATTTGGAGAAAAATGATAATTTTTTGTTGCTGGGTTCGTAGATGCTACCATGTCATTAGTAGCAACCCTTAAACTCTTTAAACTATCTTCTTTCAATGACTAAACGATACATGAAACCTAGCAAGTACCGAAAGTTTCAAGTACCTATCCCGGCACCGAAAATCTCTACAATACAAAATATGACCATGCTAAACTTATGCATTGCATTTATAGACATCTGATAATCATCAAAAATTTACTGCATGTCTATGTCATGTAAGCGAACTTTTAAAATAAAAAAAAATATTTACTTCTTCTTCAATTTAAAAAGAAAAAGAAAATGCAAAATAACAAGCAGAAAGAACAAGAAGACGAAAATCAAAAGCCATAAACAAATTGCAAGGGACATAAAAAAAGTTGTCCATAAAATTTTTTATTATATTTTTCAAATCCCATTAAAGCATTTTGTAGCTTTCTGCAGCTACTTGCTATTGCTGGCTGCAATTACGAAATAGTTTCGGATCATAATAATGCTATTAAGCTGTGTGTAAACACGATTTATTGTATAAAGAATTCTTTTATTTTTTTTGTATATATTCACTGTGAACAGATTATGACTCAAGCTCTGCTGTGCCAAGTTTTAGCCATAATTAATATGAACTTTTCATTTATGCAGAGTGTCGTTTGGTAAGCGAAGATGTCTCAAGAAGATTTCGTGACATGAGACTGAAGGGGATTTGCAGTTTGAGATTTGGGTGTATTATGTGGATATTTTGATTCAAAGGAATTAAATTGCTGGATTTTGCTGGAGCTTTGATGATTCTACAAGATTTGTTCAGGGATTTATTTGGACGATCTTTTTAGTTTTTAAGAATTTACTGTTAATTTATGTTTTTAGACTTGATATGGGTTATAGTCAAGCAGTCAGGATATTATATTCTTTTGAATTTAAACTTGAGGATCAGTTTTAAGGACGATTAAGTGACTAAAATTAAAGAAGATTTGCATGAGAACGATCCATCATATAATTCACCATAAATCATTAAACTAGTAACCAAAAATACTTAAATACTGAATGAAACCGCTTAAAACGAGTCGAAAACGTGTATAAGATCTAGTAATACCTAAATCTGATAGTTAAGGCTGGGCTTTTCTTTTTTTTTTGACAATGCTTGACTTTTATTGAATATTTTGGAAGCATTTTTTGCTCTTATCGAAACAAATGTTCATCCAAAGTAACATCAATAATGCACATCATAACCATATGCTTCCAATGAATGCAATAAACTCAAAATAAGAATCACATAGCATAACTTTCTGACATTTATTAATTCAGAGGAACTTTAAATTCAAATATTTATCCAGAATCCCTTGAAACTTTTCTGACAGCTACACCGGTACTCAACTTTATAAGCAGAAAATATTATGTAAAGCAATATTTCATACCCAGTTGACCATCTAAGGAATATCTGAATGAATTACAAAGGAACAATTCAATAACAGCAAAAAGCAAACTTTTATATTCGATTCAATAATTCAATCAAGTTCTCCCAGAACTTCTGAGTTTATTTGCTACGAGTTTTGTTGTTCTAACATGCTCTAAATAAAATTCCAGAATTGCTTCAGAATATATGAATAAACTATTAGTGCTATTTATAAAAATTGATCCATTGCTTGCAACTTTTAAGAAAAATCTTCATGGTCATATATGTGCATGATCTTCATCATTTAGGAGTTTGTTTTATGATTATGAAATTATTATTTCAACTCGAAAAATTGTTGTTGATTCTAAGAGACATAAAGTATAATCGTTAGGAGTACATTACTGGAGTTCAATGTCGAGTCTCTTTTATTAAATTCGAAGAGCAGCTTAGATGTGCGAGTATCATGAATAAAGCGAGTAAAGCGAGTACCACTTCTTGTTTATGTACACAGCTTTTTGTTTTGTCTATTTTATCTGAGGAGATTAAAAGAACAATGGATGATTTGACAGTTTGTCGGTTATTTATTTTTTTAAAATTTAAATTCAAAAAATTAAGCTGAATTTTTAATCTTTATGGAATTTTGAAATTGTTCCAGAATTTAAACTGCGTCTCATTCGTCGATGAATCATAAAACTTTTCAATATTCTCAACTTAAATCTGATTACGGTAATTTCAAGCATCTATGTAATTTATATTTTATTCACTAAATGCGCAAATTCTTCCTGTTTTACGGTAATGGTAATTGATCAAACAATTGATTCTCATATATTTCCTCGACACCTTCTGTATACATCAATTGTCAACGTTTTGTATGTTAAATAGCTTCTCGAGAGACATTCTTATGCTAATCATATCACAGTCTAATTGATTTTCATAATAATTTATAATTCGCACCACTGAATGACGCTTAATAAGCTACTTAGAAAAGAGCATTAATTGTAATTATAAAATCATAGACAATTTATTCAATGCAAGTGAATTAGAACTAATTCATTGGAAAATCATGCAAAGTAGGGAAACGGTATTAAATGCTCAATATTGATTCAGTATGGTTCTATAAATCAGAAAGTGAATTAAATTGTCAATACTGTAACGGTTTCCTTTTTTATAATGTTATATTGAGAATTTTATGAGATTAAATTCCTATAATTACATCATGAGCTGTGAGAAGGTGACAATGTTGTGGTTGATACACGAGGTTGGACATTAGAGCTATTGAAAAATTGGAGAAGTAAGTTTTTATAATAAATTTTCATATTAAATTAAAATTGAATTTAGAATGAAATTTTAATTTTAATAAAATTCATAAAACCTGACAAAATCTTCCTCAAATAAATGTTATCCCAGCATTCGTCAAATTGACAATTTAAAATCAATCTCGACATCTCACATTACCCTACGCAAAATGAAATTATTTTCGTAATTAATCAAATTGATTGAATTGCTTTCATTAATTTAAACTCGCAAAACACAACTAGTAATCAAGATCACAATCGCAATATCTTGATTTATTGATAGCTTTCAACAAATGTTAAAATATAGTATTTTATGAGATGACTGAACTAGTCAGTGTTGTGTCATATCATGTAATTTATTTCTTTTATTTGACTCTACAAAATGTGCTTTGTCCAAAGAATTATTCATTACAAGTATTTTGGCATTTTAGCGCACATGCATTTCGATGTCTTGCAGGGTTGTAATTTCGTTTGGTTCTGTGTAAAGTGTGTTTGATTCTCTGTAAAATGGGCATTGTTCTCTGTAAAGGAGGTTTGGCTCTCTTTAAAGTAGGTTTGATTTAGTGTGAAGTGTATTTGGTTCTCTGTAAAATGGGCATTGTTCTCTGTAAAGGATGTTTGGTTCTCTGTAAAATCAGGTTTGGTTCTCTGTAAAGTAGGTTTGGTTTTCTGTAAAATGGGGTTGTTTTAGTGTAAAGTGGGTTAGGGTCTCTGTAAAGTGGGTTTGATTCTCTGTAAAGCGGGTCTAGTTCTCTGTAAAATTTTCTTCAGTTCTTTGTAAACTTAAAAAATTTTGATCCTGTTTTAGTTTAATTCAATAAATCCTATGTAACTTGCCTCCCACTCAAATGTGAACAACTCTGGTATAACAAAATGATTGCGAAAGACTTTACAGCTTCCAATTGTATCATCAAAGGGCAAGAGACTTTTATTTTAATGTTTTATTCGAACCCATATTAACTGAATGAAAAGCAATACACGAATCCATTAACTTTGTGAAAAAAAAGTAATCGTTCGAGTTCTTTCACATTTTGCATTCTTTCTGCTTCCTTATGCCATTTCTGGTTTTTTCTGTTCTTTTCTCTCTATTGCTCGATGACGTCTAGAAGATATGCTTGCAGATTTTTTTTACTACGCGGATATTCTTGCATTCATTGAGATAGTGGATAGAAATGCCAATGAACTTATTCTTTATGCTATGTCCAATTGGCCTGCATTTTATTATTATATCCAGTATAAATAATGTACATGCTTAAATATATACGAAAGGATAGAAGTGTTATTGATCTTTTGAATAGATTTTTTATATTAAAATGTTAAAGCATAATGAAGCTATGGACGACACATATATGAGTTAGGTCAATGCCGGTTGTCACTGCGATTTAAATTATTATTAAGTGTTTAATTTAAAGTATGCGTTTTATGAGTTATTGAGGATCCATTGAGGATGTTTTGAGAGGTTTTTTAAAAAAATTCAAAAATTATTTTTTTAAAACTTGAGTTTTTAAAAACTTAATTTTAAAGGAAGATTCAAATTAATCTCAAGGGATTTAAAATCATCGCCAATAATATTCAAATATATCAATTATCCGCTTCTAATGACATAAAAGAAAAAATGCAAAAAATCTACATAAAACGATGCTTAATTCTATAAAAATAAAATTACAGCATACGCGACACAATTAACATCGCAGCCATAAATATTAGCGATATATATTCAATCATGACCATCTCAGCATATACAAACATTACAGATCATCGCAATATGTAGTTTATCATTGGAAACGTAAACAAAAAACAGCATGCAAAATACTGTCATGAGATCTCAATGACTAAGTAGATGTACGGTACGTTGTAAGTACATGCACACACGTACAATCGAAGAAGAAAATAAAAACTTGATTCAATAGCTTTATGTCGTGTCTCACTCTCTCGCAATATCTACAGTTCAATACAATTTTTTGTATTTTTCAAGCATCAATGATGTAAAATAGTGTGTAGGTAAGAAAGGTAAGCCTAGCGTTATAAGTGTTTGTGTTATGATGCTGAGAGTAGCTGAAGTTCACATAAAAAAATCTACTATAAAAGAGCTGTTAGGTAGTCTAAACTTCATCAGTTCAATTACAAACTTCCAGTGTTCATTTTACAGTCGCTGTACAAACCAAAAAAATCAATCAAAATGTTCAAATTGGTATGTTTTTTGACAAAAAAAAAATAATTTAAATAAAGTGAATCAAAAGTGCTGAAAAAGTTCAAGTTTATATTCCCAAAAATGACATTAAATTAACAAAACAAAAATATTATTTTAGTTCGCCCTCGCTTGTGTTTTGGCCATCGTCAAGGTTGATGCCGGTTATGTTGCTGCTCCAATCATTGCAGCTCCAGTTGCCACCAGCTACAGCTCAAGCCATGTTGTCCATCATTCAGCTCCAGTGATCAAGACGTAAGGATTATTAAATTTATAATCTCATCTTCTATGATTAATTACTGAAATTTCTCAATAGTGTCCCAGTCGTTCATGCTGCACCACTCGTCCATGGACCAGTTGTTCACAAAGTTGTTGCTGCTCCAGTCGTACACACAGTCCACTCAGCACCAATCATCAAGACGTAAGTTATATTCTCTCATCATTTTGAACTATTAATTAACTTTATCTTCTACATACAGTGTCCATGCTGCCCCATATGTTCACCACGCACCACTCGTACACGCACCAATTGTTCACAAGACATTCGTCCCAGCCCACCCAGTTGTCATCCACCATTAAAAGTTCATCTATCTAATGCCTACGAGTTAACCAATGTTCATCGTGAAGTTTAAATTGTTTGATTAAAAAAATATATGAAAAAAATCAATTGAGAAGAAAAAATAATGATTGAGGATATAAAAAATACATTGGAAGTCATTTTTTAAAAAAATGAAACAAAAGAAAGTTAAATTGTTTTTATTTCATGGTTATTTAACAGGGATTAAAAGTTGAATGAGATTCAATTAAACTGGAATGAAACATTTATTGTGTGAAAACCAATCAAGCGTTATTGCAAGTTTGTTGTGATGCAGTTCAACGGAAAATAGTTATTTTTTTGTTCTATAACAGTGAAAATGTTGTGACAATGAACAATTTGTGAAAGTAAGAATCGACCGTGTTAATTAGTCGCAACTATGAGTGAACATATTGAATATTGATACTGATTCACAGCCAGTTTGGATGAAAACTGGATATGAGGATAACAAGGGGTTATAACTATGAGATTTATCGTCCTGAACTAAATGTCAACCAAAAAAAGAAAATCTCAACACAATCTCTGAATAAGCCCTTTAAGGCAAATACCTAAAAGCTCTATTGAAAATAAGTTCAGATTCATTCATCTTCTTTAGAGAATTTTTGCAATTTTCTACGAGATTCATTCCAGATTGCAATTCTAAAGCAAATTCCATGTTCGGAATATTCACAGCTGTACGAACAGCTCGGAAATTCTCATGAATATTACAGGACTAGTCATTTACGTCTTTAGGACAGTTTTATAAAATTTCATAATCTAGAAGAATATTCTTCATCTGTATAAATTTATCTTCCTCCATATTGACGTCAATTGAGCTGAAAAAATGCACATCCTTATCACTTCAAAGTATGCGTCACAAGTATGAAACTCGATCAAAACCCACGACTGCATTTCCTTCCCATTAAAAGATACAAAAACTTTCTCAAGAATTCTCTTTTTTTTCGTAAATCACAGCATAAGAATGACTTCCTCAACAATTTAAACTTCAATCAACAATGATTCCTGTTATTTCTGTAAAGAAAACTTTCAAGTTCATGGTATTGTCTCGTAGCAACAAATGTTCCGTGAAATTTCATATTGAATAGAGACGTGATACTTTACCGGTAGAAGACTTGACTTTAAATTAAAACTTATTCATCACCGTCAATAATATGAAATCGTGGAGACAATCTGACAGGAAATTTGAAGTCATTGCGCAAAACAAAATTAATAGAACCTCCCTCACATAATTTAATTTAAGGATTTTTTATGTCTTCAACTAGCAATCATAAAATTTCATAATTTTCTTCCGTTTCTACTGCTCGCATTTTTTAAACGAAATGGAATGGAGCAGTTATGAATGAAAAATGGTGAAATGGTGATTGTGGATTTTTGGGCAAATAAGCTCATTTCCCAAAGCTTTTTTCGTGGTAATTTCAAATTTCTATTAAACATATCAATCTAATTTCTGAGATATCTGAGCAGGATGGGTCCTACATTCAACATATGCCAATGTAACATGGTGATTGTCATTTAGACTTCAATTAATGTGTTGATGGGAAACACACCGAAGACTTTATTAAATATAGTGCTGATTAACCATTCGACCATTGATGCCTAATTCTTATTTTCTTATAAGATTTCACCTTATTCGACATTTTAATGACTACTGCTTAATTGTGCCAACAAATAAAGTTAAGATCATTGACATGTTGAAGCATACTGACCCCTAAGTTTGTAATCCTGTTGAGTTAATAAATTATGTCTGTTAAAGCCCTTTCTAGCTATCTTATTAATCCTTCTCTTGTTGCTCTGCTACTATAACCAAGATTTCAATCCATTCTTGTCCCTCCCTCCATCCTACCACACGCTTCAAAGCAATAAAATGAAGAATTTAAAACTATGCTTTCCCGATGACGAAATCGAGACCGAGACTTCCCGGGAAGTCTCGGTCTCGATCTCGTCTCGGTCTCGAGAATTTTCCGAGACCGAGACCCGAGACTAGAGAAGAAAAAAATTTAAGTAAAAATGATAATTTTAGAATTTTTCCCATCACAGTTTGTAGTTAATCTTACAGTTAGGGTAAATGACCTTGAAATTTGCGCATTTTCACACATGAAATTTTCATTTGCTTCAATCTCTTCGGAGGTATGGGATTTTTTCTCTTTTTGTATGGGATTTTTCGGGTGCAAATTATTGAGCTTCCTAATGGTTTAATATCACTAAAAATGATGCAAAAACATCTGCGCTGGTGTTCTACAAACATTTCCCATTGATCGTCTGAACAGAAGTGACATTTTTACATATAATTTTAAAATTTTCGTTTTCATACGAGTGCGCAAATTTCAAAGTCATTTACCCTATCCAATTTTTGTGAATAAATATCAATAATAAATTAATTATTAGTAAAAGTTTTAAGCAGTTTTTAAAATGTATTAATATTTCAACGTAAAACCTGAATTTAAAATAAAAACTCCTATAATTTTTCATAGTTTGAAACTAAATTTACCTTTATCGAACTTATTGACATTTTCACAAAAAAAAGAATAGTTTTAATAGGGACACACTTTCTTATCATTATGCTTTTCTTTTATCATTACGTATTTCGTATTTCTATTATACTTTATATTAGTATTAAGACAATAAAATTAGTTTGACTGACCGCATAACAAGGAATATATCCAGAAGTTCAATAACAAATAGACGTAATCTACATGTTCAAAGTGTTTTTTAATTACTTTCAGCGAAATTTTAAGTAGTTTTTAAAGTCGAGACTTCCCGGGAATTCCCGGGAAGTCTCGGTCTCGGTCTCGGTCTCGAGAATTTGTCGAGACCGAGAAATCGAGAAAGCTTATTTAAAACGTAAAAAAATCGTCGACAATGAAAAATCATTTTGCCATTTAAAGCTTTATTTAATAGCTGGAACATCAAATTTGTTCCGGCGACGAGAATGATGCTCAATTCGGTAAGCATCACTCAAGATAACTCAGATAAATTAAAAAAATTCTTACATAACTTCTCATTCTGAACTTGAAAAAGCTTCTGTTATTTTTTCTTATTCTTTTTTTACGTTACACCAACAATCAATCATTGCCAAGGTCAATGTCGAGTGATTTTTATAAGAAATTAAATTAAAAAAAATGTATGTGTAGTGGAGCAAAAATAGTAAAGAATGGCACGACTCTTCGACGTCCTGAACATTTTTAAAAATATTTCTTCTCTTCCATCCTTAAGTATCCTTAAAAATGATGAAAAGGAACTGAAAGTCGTCATGAATTAAGTAAGAAAAGGAAAATAACTCACGGCAAGTGTTCATTTACTTTCATTTGATTTCTCTTCTTGCGTAGGTGCTGTAAAATTTCCATAGATTTATTTTTTTCCACTTCAGGATATTTCAATTGGTTCTTTTTCTTATTGTGTGTGCATGAATAATTTTTATATAGATGAGATTTTGTATTATGAGAGGTAGAGATAAGGATTTACTTGGTAGAGAGGTCTAATATAGTTGGAAGTTCCATTATTTTGTAAATGAATGGAAATTTTTCACAATTTTTCAATTTGAGATTTTCTTCAAGAATTTTAAGTTGTGAGTCTGAATAAAAGCACTTCAAGTGATTGTTGCCTAGGATATTGACAAATTTGTTGACGAAATGATTTAATTTGAGAGATTCTGATTAAGAATTGTAAATTGTTTCTAAGAATTTAAATTTTGGTTGCTTGTGAACAGACTTTGACTTTGAATTCTTAAAATTTAATTAATTTGAGATCTAAAACATTTTATTTAATGATATGTTCCCTGTTCTTTGATGATTTAACTCAACATTAATGTTGAGTTTCTCGAAATTATTGTTTTCAAATTTCAAAACCTTACAACTTTGGTTTTGCATCTCGTTAAAAATCCTTATAAATGTTTCTGCATCTTTAACTCAAACCTTAAAATTACAAAAACTTAAAAAACGTTAAGTTTAAAAGTTTGAACTACTAGACTTTAGGTCTTTCTCTGTGGAGCTAGATTGTGTTGCATTGCTTCAAATTGAAATCAGATTAAAAGTTCAGAATTGATCAAAATGATTGAAAGTGATGAAAATGTTGTTCATCAGTTCCACTCTCTCCCATTCCCATTTAAATGTCATTTGTTACGTCATTTGCAAATAAATCACTAAAAAATTCAATCAAGTTTCCAGAAAGGTATATAAAATATTTTCTTCAGTCCATTTCAGTAGGATGAATATCTTTTGAATTATCAGGATTTTATCCTCATTGAATTCAAAAGACATTCTCATCTACCCCCGCAAAATTACAGGACAAATAATTTTGCAAATAATTGAGCAATAAAATGCAAATCGAATCCATTCAACTAGTACGAAAAAGAGAATATTCAATAAACTTTTTTTCTCATCCCGATAACAAAACTATAAAGAAATTTCTTCCTTTTCCGCCTGAAGTGATGTAAAATAACAATGAGAATAAAAACATTTTTTTCCAACTTTCCTTCCTCACAATGACGTATCTTTTAAGCTTCAATTAAAAAAAAAACTTGGATAAGAAAATTAAATTCGAATAAAAATTGTGGCATGAAAATGATTCATTTCATTTAAAATACTTCACATTTTATTCGACGATATATTCACAGGCACGCCATGCATTAATGAAATAAAAAATGATAAAAATTTATTCATCGCAATACTCTATTTGACTCGTGTCGAGCATGAAACGTAGCATTGATCTCGTGTGTGTAACATCAACTAAGGTTAAACATTCTTCTGTGTCGAGATTCATGCTCTTGACATTGGCATCAGCTATAAGGAAAAAAGTATAGAGAGAATGTATCTTTCACATATTTTTCTTTCCTTGTGTCACGCTCAAATACACCAACATTCTGAGTGCATGCATCCCTTGCGTCACTGTGAATTTTTAATGCTTTTTTTTGTTGAATCAATTAAGTGATGTTTATTTTTAAAACAAATGATGTGAGGGTCTTTGGTAAGCCACAAAATTTTATGGAACAATAAAAATTCAAGTTTATGGTAAATTGAAGATGTACATGAAATTTTAAAGAGACATGTGCTTGAGTGATGAAAATCTTCGTAAATTGATTTTCTGTTAAGGTATTGTTATCCTAATCTAGTCTGAGTAAGAGGATATTCTTTTGAGAAAATGATGTTTAGAT